GAAGTCAATGCAGGAACTCAAGTGGCTGGCTATATCACATGCACAGTTAAGACCAGAGAGAAAAAAAAAAGACACCATTGCTTGCTTGCTGCTTCATTAGCTTTCTTCACTACTGTAAGTTCATTTATTCTGTGGCAAGTTGACATTTGCAACTAACTGTCACAGTACAATTCAGATAAGCACTGTAGTAACTCTCTTTAAGGAGAATGTTAGCTTAGTAAATTAAATGAAAATAGAAAGTCATTTGACTAGCAGAGTGCTCTCGCCTCCAGAGACTCTCAATACTATCTCATTTGTCTACATGTATGTGTGTGCACATGTGTGTGGAGCCTGAGGCACCAGTCAAGGTATAGATCTCCTGGGAGCAGCCTGGATCCTCTGCAAGTGCAGCAAATACACTCAGCCCGACCAAGCCATCTCTCCAGCCCCTCCTTTGGACCTTTAAACAGATGCCAATTCCGCTCACTAATATAAAACTATCAGAATGCAAGCTGAACTTTTAGGACAGAACTTCCACAAATACTCTGTAAAAGAGAAGAGCTAAGACAGGCCTGAGCGTCCATTCCCATCTTCCCTCAGTAAAACCAATTGCTTAGCATGTGCTAGGTTCTGGGATATGAGGGTGAAAAGACAGTTTAACTGGTAGGTCACTTTGCCGCCGACCTAGTAGCAATGCTCTAAAGCTAAATATCAGTAAATCTACTCAGTGCCACCACTTAGGCGTATATGAAACGTCATATGCTTTGCAAAGATTCTGTTCACTTAACTTAGAAGCACAGACAATAAGACAGCACCAGGACAGAGTCAGTGAGAGATGAACCCTGCTCTCAGAAGCTCTGTAAAAAGGCTACCAACTACATGCTGGCATCCCTCCAAGGCCAGAACAGTAATCCAATAAACATGAGTCATCCTGTATTTCATCATCTTACTGTGGACTGCATCCTGCCATAAAATTAAAATACAGCTTTCTCTCAAACTGTTTACAGGTTTCAAATATTTATAGACTTATGTCTCTCCTTCACTGTCTCTCAGCCAAGAAAAATACATTTAGTTCTGTCTCCTTTCCTTTTAAAGTCAATTCCTCAATTCAAATAATCTTTTTGTGGCTTTAAAATTCTCTGCTTTTGTATTCCATTCTAGGATCCAAGTCATCTAACTGAAATATTGTTCCAGACATGAAAACACACACAGTTTAAAAAAAAAAAACTTTTTGAGGATTAGTGCTTCTGTATATGAACTCTAGAATCTCAGCTTTTAGCTAATCTCAATTTCCTTCCCTTATATTATCAAGCTGTTCAGTTTTTCTAATATTGTACTTGTATGGATTTTCCAGGTTCCTCATATGAAATTAATTAGTTAGAGACAATGAGTGCACAGAAAAACAGTTGTGACTAACAAATGCTCTAAGGCACTGAGAAACAAAGCAGTTAAAAAGCTTCTAGGGTCTCATACAGCAGCTCTGTTCTTCAGATCACTAAAATAAACTTCAAATATCTCTATCTCCTTTTACTAACACATTCTTATTTTATATACTTTACATTTCTCCATTGACAACAATGTATAGGTTAAACATTCCATTCCTGAAAAGTCTTGGGCAAGAGCAGGACAGTATGGTTTAGATACAGGATTCTAGCTACTGGACAGGATTAAGGGGACTGTCCCCAACTTCATTAGAATTACTTGTGAATGGTGGAAAGATACAGTAACTATATGGACAAGATATAAACAAGCACTGTGACAGGTCAGAATCTATGTAAACCCTATGCGTGATCACCTGAAGGAGAAAGGGTTTGGTAATTGGTGGGGAATATACTCTTTTGCTCACAACGTTTCAGGACCTTAAAGCAAACAAAGCCTTCAAACTCCAGAACCAGCTGCAACCCAAATCTTTTCTGTTTGCCTTTATACTACACCAGTTAACACAAATGCCTTCTCACCTTAGATTGCTTTTGAATCTTTGTAACCAACATTCCTATAGATTTCCTTTGCTCACTAAGTCTCTAAGTTCCAAGTCAAAGTTCAACTCAAATTCTACCTGCTCCCTGAAATATCACCTCACTCCCTGCCCCCTGCCGCACACAGTGACTCTTCTCAGCCTGAATAAACAGCACTGAGTCTGCACCCCTGAAGGACCCACCATCTTATCCTCCCTATTGTAAAATTGTTGGTGCACAGGCCATGTCCCTTCTCTTAGAGGATAACTTCCTTGAGATGGTCTCTGACGAAGTCATGTCTTTATCATTCTCATTTCTCCTTATTTTAAATATACACACAATAACAAATGTTTGTGGAAGACAGTGTTCCAAATACTTCTGGTTACAAAGATAAAACAAATAATCAATATTCTGGTTGTTTCTACAGTATTTACTGTATACAACAAGGATCAAAACCCTGCCCTCTCAAAAAGTTACAGTCTACAAGATGATCTAAGACAGTGGCTCTCAACCTTCCTAATGCTGCAACCCTTTAATAAAATGCCTCATGTTGTGGTAGCCCCAACCATACAATTATTTTTGTTGCTATTTCATAACTATAATTTTGCTACTATTATGAATCATAAATATATATTTTCTGATTTTTTAGACAACCCAATGAAAGGATGTTCAACCCCTAAAGGGGTGGTGACTCAAAGTTTGAGAACCACTGACATAAGACATCTATATGCTATTAACATGTATCATGAGAATAAAAATGAAATTTTACAGGAAGAGCAATGAAAGATTATTTCATTTCAAAGCAGAGATGGATTATGAAAAGTATGCTTTAATATTTTAAATTTTATTTCATTACTATGTGTATTGATATTTTTTCTGCATGTATGTCTGTGCACCAGGTACATGCTTGGTGCCCTTGGAGGCTAGAAGACAGCAACAGATCCCCTAGAACTGGAGTTACAGACAGTTGCGAGCTGCTATGTAGGTGCTTGGAATCAAAACCCAGGTCCTGCCAGTGCTTAACTACTGAGCCTCTCAAGCCCCAAAGCCTTAATATTTGTGCTGAGCCTTGAAAGACAAGTACATCTGAGCAGGTAGAGACAGGGACAAAGAGTAATAAGAAAAGGAAATGTAAGCCATTAAGGCAAGAAATCTCAGGATGATACAGGAACAACCAAAAGTAGAAGGCAAGCAGAAATGGACGTGGGCAGGGGAGTCTCTGAAGTCATCAGAGCTATATTAGGTAAGAACCAGAACAGCAAATAAGAAGCTTAAACTTCACCTTTTCATTAAGAATATATTCCAGAGTTCCTGAGAGGCTAATAATGGCATTCGCTCTGTATGAACTGGAAGGGAAAACACTGTTAGAGAAGACAAATGTATAGGCCCGTACCAGTACAAAAGAGGTGTGATAAAGGCCTGAACAAGGAAGGAGGCACAAAGGATACAAACAGATGAATAGAAGAGAGATTATAAGCATGACAACGTCACGTTCTCTACAGAAACGGTTTGCAAAAAGGTGAAAAGTTTGTATGCTGGGAGGAGGTTGGTACTATAATCAAGAGAGAGGGCACTACTCATACGACACACAGCGAATCAACAGGAAAAACCGAGTTCTACTCATACTGAACAGTGTCCGTGGACTGTCCCATCACAGCATCACTGACAAACCTTGAAAAGCTTTTCTACTTAGAACAAAACAGTAACTCTGTGAAACAAGAGAAAAATACTCAAGTCAACCCTGAATAAAGATTCTCACTGTGATTCCAAGGTGAGTGTGATCATTCCAGAGCAACCTCAAGTGCTCCAGAGCTGTTGGAAATGCAGCGCCTCACAGTGAACACAGAACTGGACCCCTAGGAGATGTAAAGGTCCTTGTAATTCTTTAAAATGCTAAGTGAATGAATGATTTGTGGTCACTATCATTCAGTCACAATTCAACTGCAATGCCGTAACAAGAGGTGGTCAGGCAGGTTCCAGGTGACTGACAAGGTGCTGAGGGATACTAACAGCACTTCCTCATGTATCCGTTCTTTGCAGCAAACAGTCCTCCTCAGTTAATAAATCCAGAGTCTGCCTACACTAACCCCTAGCCTTCTGGATCCAAAAAAAAATTACCATGAAAGCATGTAGGGATGCTACCACCAGCAATGATAAACTCACAAGGATCACAGCTGTCCTATACACTTATTTATGTTCTTAATAAATTAAAAATAACAATCTAACCTGAAAGCGAAGGTGAGTACTTAGCATATAATTTGATTTATTAGTAAATGTTTATTATACTTATACTGAGTCAAACTATAAGAGCAAACATTTGCATTGCAGCTAATTTGTCTAGTATGTTCTATTAAAGGCATTTATTAAGTAATGCTGGTAACAACATTATTTTCACCAGAGGTAATGTCATCATTTCACCTTAAGTCTAAAGGGGACAAGAAAAATCAAATTCAACTTTCATTATTAGTGTTTAATCACGTGAAATATATCAGCTTTATCTATTTATTGAGCATTAATATTATACACTACTAATATTAAGAGTCAAACTGACAACTTACAGCCATGCGTTGATTTAATGACATAGCAGACACCAAGTATTTACAGATAATCCTGTTTGGTTCGGTTTGGATCATTTGAGACAGGCTCTTGCTATACGGCTCAGGCTGACTCTAAACTAATCATCTTCCTCTCTGAGTGCTGGGGTTACAGGTGTGCACTCTGCACTCAGCAAAGGGCACAAAGAGAAGAGGGTGTGGGAGAGAGAGGAAGGGAGGGAGGGAAAGGACTAAGGAGCGGAAGGAAGGCAGTGTCGCTCTTAGCCTGGGCTGCCCTTGAGCCATGGCAAGCCTCCTACTTCAGTGTCCCAAGTGCTGAAATCACAGCTAGGAGCCACCACTGCAGCAGCTCCCAGTCTTTTGATTGCCGGTAATAGGTAACTTTTTATCCCTCTTTTTGCGTATGTTTACAATTTTTTCTTAGCTAATGTTCTATTTTAGTTGTACCAAAAGGAGCGACTTTGTTAAGAGAAAGAAAAAACGGGCTGAGGAAGTAAAAAGAAGCACCTACCAGGTCCCTGTGGAGCACCCAATTTGCGTGGAGGTAATGGATGCCGTCGAGAATCTGGTAGAGCAGAGACTTCACCATAGATCTTGGTAACTGCATAGGCTTTTTATTTGCTTTTGAAGCACGATGAAATTTAATAATATGCTAAAAATTAGAAAATAAAACATACTTTAATAATATAGTCTGCTCATATCTCTGCCCAAAAATAATCAAAACAGAAAAATATGCTCTGTATTTTACAATTAGCTTTTAAAATTAATGATACAAAAATTTCTGAATTATAAAGCCATCTAAAAACCATATTTTGGGATGAATGTGACCATATGAATGTGGGTCTACAATGATCAGATTTACTGAAAAGATTGAGATTTTCACTAAATAGCCTCAAAGGTAAGGCTGTTATTTAGATGCCTATCTAAGAACAGTGTAATATTCTGATGGGTGGGAGGAAGGCAGGAGGGAAAACTGTCCATCCTCGCTGTTATAGAAAAAGTCAGTACCTACTATATTTAAACAACATCACTAACAATGATATATTTGCACTGCTGGGAAAATACTACCCCCTCTAGGCAGAGAACAATGTGGTATTTCCTAGAATTTAGCATTATAAAGGAGAGACCTCCAGAAAGTGCAGGAGTAGTAAGCAGACCATCTTTTTCACATTTTTAACATCACAGGTTAAATGTGATGATAAGACCTCCATGATACAAGGGAGGATGTTACAGGCCACAGCTACCTCCCACTGTACCTCCACTCAACTCCCACCCGGGTCCTAAGAACAGCAGTGCTTGTAACCACTGAACCACAGCACCAGCCTCTACATGACTGTTTTAAAGTGAGCTTCATGCATTATCAAGGAAGCTTTGTAGAAATAAAGGAGAATTAAGAAAAATGAGGCTTTTGTTTTGAGACAGGGCTTCAGGTAGCCCAAGATTCAAACTCACTATGGATATAAGTACAGCCTTCAATTCCCGAGTCTCCCTGCTTCCAACTTTCAAGTGCCTGGTATGCACTACCGTGACGAGCAAACTAGTTTATTTTAAAAGCTTGCTATAGTTATTTATTTGTGTGTGTGTGCTTGTGTGTGTACACACATGGACCACAAGCACATGTGGAGGTCAGAGGACAACTCACAGGAATCAGTTTTCTCATGAACTTTCAAAGTTCATTCAAGACCTTTATAAGCCTGTCGAAGCTATTCTTATACAGATCTTTTAATTTATGTAGAAGGCAAACTATAACATACTGAACCAAATTTATCCATAATTCAACTATCAATTTTTTAAGCAGTTTTAGAGACAAAATGTTTAAAATGCTCTGAGTAGGAATTGGATTTTTTTTTTCTTCTTTCATTTACTGATAAGGCATTCTAAAACCTACATACTGACTTCTTTTTGGTAGACCCAGTTTTAAATACCAAAATGTGGTAAGAGATCAGCTTGAGCTTATCTCCTCACAAGTATACACTTGATTAAATGTGTGCATACTTCACGAAGGAACCTGTGCTTATCACACAGATTACCAAACCGCCATTAGCCTCACCTTAGCAAGCGCCCCGAAGAGTACTTTTGATACTACACGTCATCATTTCAACAAGTTTCCACTTAGTACTCATCTTTAAAATCAACATTTACTACAGTTGCTTAGAACTGTGATGAATGTTGCGTGCGTTCTTCCCAGTGCATTAACAGCACACACTGCTGGCGTACGTGCCCCTTACCCATAGAACCCTGTGCACGGAGGAGTTAAACTTACCCAAAGGTCATGTTCTGCATAGTCAAACAGCAGCCACACCTTCCTGTCGCTGTGGGAAAGGAACACCTTCTGCAAGGCGATCACGTTGGGGTGCTTCAATTCTCTCAAAAGCTGAATGCACCAGAGAGGGGAGAGAGAGAGAAAGAACACTTTTTGATTAGCAAGGAGAGGCCAAGAAGAGAACATACTCCTCATAAGCGAACAGAATGTTTTATGTGAAACCAGGTCTTACTGTAGCCCAGGCTGTTTTTCCTGTCTTAGCCTCTTGAATGACAGATGCACACTGCTGGATCTAGCTTCCAAGTAAACTTCTGACAATTTAGAAAAGCCAGGTAAGCAGCAAGAAAGGGGAACAGCTTTCAAAGAAAAAAAATTACTTGGAGAAAAATTCTGACAACACCTTTCTGATCCTGTTCTACATTATGTGTGTGTGTGTGTGTGTGTGTGTGTGTGTGTGTGTGTGTGTGTGTGATGTTCTAAAAACAAAATGTAAAATGATAAACAAAATGAACACTGTATCACTAATGGGGAAATACCTCAATCAGCAAAGTGTTTGCACAGCACTAGAACCCACAATTTTAAAAGTTTTAAAAAAGTCAGTTGCGGTAACAGAATGGCGACAGGTGGATTTGGCAGCAGCAGTGGTGTAAGGGGATGGGGGGATCTCACTGGACAGCCAGCCTAGTCTACTTGGTGAGTTCTAGGCCAGTGAAAGACCTCATCTCAAAATAACAAAAAGAAAGGACCTGAGAATGACACCTGAGACTGTCTCTGGCTTCAAAACACACACACACACTTAAGGCTGCTCTCTGGCTTCAACACACACACACACACACACACACACACACACACACACACACACACA